TGTCAGATCAACTTTTCCCGTTGTAATTTAGAAATTTTTCAATTTTCAAAATAGGTACGTTTCAAAGGTTAACAGCAAATTTCTATGAACCATTGTGTAATGAATAAACAAAAGATACCTAACACTTTATACAAAATATTGCAATTTGAAAAAAAAAATCAAAAATAAGGAAGCTGAATTTCCACATTTACTTCTTCATATTTCCAAGAGTGGTCGAGGAGGATTTTTTTTAATTATTTTTCCAGGGTTCCTCAAAGGGTCCCCTAGTACGTAGTGGAGAGCTTTTACGCTATTTTCCGGACACCCTGTATATTTTATTTCACCTTTTTATGTGTTTATCAGTAATCTTTTAGAATCCTCGTACCTACTACTAAAATATTTATAATTAAGATTTCATTGTCACCTGTTGATAAGCATTATGATGCCTACCATTAATGAGCATTGTTATCTCTCACTAAAAAATATGGTGAAAATAATTCCGATCTATTTAATACCGAGTCGATTCGGCACGTGGGGTCAGCATCCCGTCAAAATAAATTGAATTGATTTCGTGATAGAACAGAGGTGCTTCTAGTAAGTCGCGCTCTTGGAGGATGCTATGCCTGCTATGCGGTTTATGCGAAAGCATAAGTTATGAGCCTAGCAGCGGATCCAGAAACTTCTATCAAAGGATAGTATGCAGCAGCTAGGGTCGATAAAATCTCCGGATGGATCCTACAGACAATCCGAGAAAAAAACGTTAGAGATTCTCGCAGAGAACCACTTCCCAGGGAGTCCGATATGATGTTCGGCCTCCAAGATGCTCAACCCAGCGATCGGATTAAGCGACCTGAAAGGGAAGACTAGTTAATAACTATTAAAATAGTTACAGCAGCGGCCATAAAGAGGTGGTCCTATCAAAAATAAGGAAGCTGAATTTCCACATTTACTTCTTCATATTTCCAAGAGTGGTCGAGGAGGATTTTTTTTAATTATTTTTCCAGGGTTCCTCAAAGGGTCCCCTAGTACGTAGTGGAGAGCTTTTACGCTATTTTCCGGACACCCTGTATATTTTATTTCACCTTTTTATGTGTTTATCAGTAATCTTTTAGAATCCTCGTACCTACTACTAAAATATTTATAATTAAGATTTCATTGTCACCTGTTGATAAGCATTATGATGCCTACCATTAATGAGCATTGTTATCTCTCACTAAAAAATATGGTGAAAATAATTCCGATCTATTTAATACCGAGTCGATTCGGCACGTGGGGTCAGCATCCCGTCAAAATAAATTGAATTGATTTCGTGATAGAACAGAGGTGCTTCTAGTAAGTCGCGCTCTTGGAGGATGCTATGCCTGCTATGCGGTTTATGCGAAAGCATAAGTTATGAGCCTAGCAGCGGATCCAGAAACTTCTATCAAAGGATAGTATGCAGCAGCTAGGGTCGATAAAATCTCCGGATGGATCCTACAGACAATCCGAGAAAAAAACGTTAGAGATTCTCGCAGAGAACCACTTCCCAGGGAGTCCGATATGATGTTCGGCCTCCAAGATGCTCAACCCAGCGATCGGATTAAGCGACCTGAAAGGGAAGACTAGTTAATAACTATTAAAATAGTTACAGCAGCGGCCATAAAGAGGTGGTCCTATCATTCCACTCTTTTAGACCCCTGGCATTTTCCTTGCTGTGCTACAAAACGAACTCGGGATACTGCTGTCATTCAAGACTCTTCAGCGTGCAACGCAACCATATACCACCAAGCTTAACAGCTACAAAAGTGATCTATATCCCTGAAGCGGGGCGCAAATAACCCACACTCCAATCATTCAGACCAATAAATCTGATATCTTTCCTGCTGAAAACTTTAAAGAAAGTGCTGGATGAGTGGATTAAGGGAGAGACGTTTAAGACGAGTCCCCCTAGTTACTCATCAATATGCCTATCAGACAGTAAAATCCACAAAGCTGGAGAGGGAGCTTTTAGCCATACGATCCGAGACTCTCTCTATGAGGCATCAAAATCTACACCATTTCCAACAGTATTTTAGAAAGCTCCAATTGTATTTTAGAATAGTCATTTGTATTTGACTATTTGAGAAATCTATTCCATTATACAATCGAAGCTTTCTAAAACTGTTGGACATGGAACCCGTTAATTTGTAACTGAATAGAGACCATGCTGAACGATAAAATGATAACGACCTCCCCGAAGGAGGAAACAGTCAATTTCAGAGCTGCCAAGGGCTGTGCACAGGGAAGAGTATTATCTCCGCTTCTGTAATCACTCTTGGTAGATGACTTCCTGGCCGTGAAATAACTATGAGCGGTCGAGATTTAAGTATATGCGGACGATCTAGTAATAATAGCCAAGGGTAGCTCCGAGACGAGGGCTGTAGCTGCATTCCAAGAAGTTATAGACTGCGTGCTTGATGGGTTTGAGAGAGAAAATAACGATCAATCCTTATAAAATTCAGCAGGAGAAGAAAACTCGATGATCTGGTACCCCTGAATATTCAGGAAGAAATAGCGCCATTTTCAAGTGAAGAAAAGTATCTAGGGATCATTCTGCATACATGCATGGCATGGCATGGCTATGATGCTTATCAGAAAACGTATGCAAAACACTTGATTCTCTAGTCCGGTGGACGTCATCTATACAGACTTTTAGAAGGTCTTTGACCGTATAGATCATTGTGTTTTACTGAACAAGTGGCAGGGATTTGAGCTTTCTGAACGGCTCATCAAAATGTTCAGGTCATACTTGTTGAATCGTACTGTTTGTCGAAGTTAAGGGTGTCAAGTCACAATCACAGGCTTATGTTGCAGCGTCAGCCATGGCTCTAATCTGGGCCCGCTTTTATGTTCAATATGTTTATAAACGATCTTCTGAGTGCGATCACATGTAATAAGCTAGCTCACACAGATGACTTGAAACTTTATCACAATATAAGCAATACTGATTACTGTGTTTTTCTTGAGGACAATTTGAATACTTTAAGTCGTTAGTGTGTTAATAATTAAGGTCTAAATTCATCAAGGACAGAGCTACTGAAGGCAGATTTCTGCTTGTTACCAGAGAGCTCCAAAACCAATCATGGAGTCGGAGCAGGTGTATATGGTGAGACACCAAGACTGTACATTTCGAGCAGCCTTAGGAAAAACGCATCCATATTGCAGGTAGAAGTGCAGGCCATCGCACTTGGCGCGAAAAAGTTGCTGGAAATGCGAAAAACGCAGCAAAGTCAATGAAAATATTTTGTATACATACTGATAGCCAAGCTGCGCTGAAAGAAAACACTGCCACCTACACACTGTACAGTCTGCCAAATTAGAGGCTGCATGTCAAAATATTTACTTTTCTGGAAATTCATCCCTGTAGGTATATAGATTCTCTCAACCTGGAATTTTCAGAAAAGTCAATATTAAGCTTAACTTCATTAGACCGGAATCAGTACTGAGGATAGCCCTGAATATGGCCAACAACGCAATCTCGAGCCCGGACAATATAGAGGCCAAACAATAGTGGGAGAGGTTACCAGGTATGCGAAATCCTTTGTACGAGATGCTTATTGTCGCCTATGGAAGATGACTAAACTGCAAAACATGTCCTATGCACGTGTCCGGCAATAGCAAGAATCAGGCATGCTGAGATGCTGTATTCGGGGAGTCAGCTGTTCGACACGAATACATAAGGCATGCTTCCCCCACGCTCATTTCCACCTTCATCAGAAGGGCTCCACTGATGGAAAAAAAACTCGGAGTGAGCCACAATAGACCGCATGTCGCAGTAGATGGGCCAACATCGGGCCACCTACAGAAAACCCTCGAGAAAACCTAAACCTAAAATCCTCGATGACGGGAACAAATTTCCTGTATTCCTTTTAAAAATAATTAGCACACATATCAATAAAAAATTAATTAAAAAATTTTGTCCTTATTCATGAATAATTATGGTAATTAAAAAAGAACTTTTATTTACAACCGCATACGTAATGTTGACATTTCTGACTTTTCAAAAGTTTGAAAGCGACACTTTTTTGAATTTCACTTTCCACCCGGGTGGAAAGTGGTCCCGGGTGGAAAGTGTTCACTTTCCACCCGGGTGGAAAGTAAGTTCTCATTTCCTAAAATGTTTAAGACGAGTCCTGAATGTCAAACGTTTTTTTAGATGAGTCAGAACTTGTCAACAAATTTTTAAATTTTTTTTTAGTATTTAGTCGAAATTATGAGGGTTGTAATTGTTGTAAATAAAATAGTATACAAACCTCGGTAGGGATTTCATTCCTGTCTCGAGATTATAGTTAACTTCGACGCTTCGCGTCTCAGTTAACTAACTAATCTCTCGACAGTAATGAAACACTTCCCACCTCGGTATGTAATATACTATTTCAAACTAATAACGAAAAGTTGGAATAAATAGCATTGAACCAAGGCAAAATATCCCAAATTAATGCATCTATAATTAAATAAAACGGAGCGATCTATAACTTCAACAAAGGACAAAATAAAATGAGGGAAAATTAAATATCTTTTGAACTTTTAAACCATGATTCATAAAATTTTAAGAGGGAACAGAATCCAAGCTTAATACTGGGGAATTCTAGTTTTAGAAATTCAAATTAATTTTCCAACAAATACAGCTTCCAGTTAAAAATGTCAGTAATACAAAGGATAGTTGTTGTGAAATATAAAAAGTAGTGTGTATTGATGACCACAGATTAAATTTAATTTCTTAATTGAGAAATTGGCAAAGCTACACAGTGTGATCAAAAACTATATCGTGAACTGAATCAATTGAAATTCAGCTCTGAGAGAGGGATTCATTAGTAAACTAAATTAATTTATCTTTAGGAAGGGTTTATTTTGGATTCTAAAAATAAGGAAAAAAATAACTATAAATTGCAAAACTCAACGTAAAAGAAACCCTTATAATTAGATTTAAAATCTGATACACTGTGAAACCTTACAATTAGGTCAGTAAATGGAAATAGTTGTAAATACCTTGAAGCAGGGACTTGAAATTTAGTTTTGTGTTATTTTGTTTCATATTTATCAACTTTTTACGAAATATAAATAACACTTTCTGGCTTTAAATTATGAAGTTGTTAATCTTATGTCCGGTTTACGCATTATTTTTGTATACGGTGTGTGTTTTTGGTGACGTTTTTAACGATAGAAATAATGATTTGTGTTGGGAGGGCTTAGGAAAATCAGATGAAGCAAATATGTGTCAAATTAAACCGTAAGTTTATTCTATTAAATATTTTGTCAACATTTATGAAAGTTATAGTTTCGAATATTTAATTTTCAAGACATTTTCAACCAAATTACTTGCATCTTTTGCACATCCAATCGCAAGTGTTATCCCGGCACCTCCATGCCCATAGTTATGTACGATTCCTAAAATTTTTCCGCTGTTTGTCTCAATATACTCATCTTCCAATCGCACTCTATATCTGGAAGGTCGGAGCCCAACAACTTCACTAATTTTTTTGCATTTAGCTAGAGCGTAGTTTATTTTTGAAGTATTTTTTAGAATTCTATCGGTGTCATTCTTGTTAATGGTGGTATCAAAGCTCTGTTGTTTGGTTCCTCCTGAAATATAATGCCAAAAAAATTATTATCAAATAATTCGAGTATTGCATAGCCCTAGTGATACCATTAATTGTTTCAACAAAATGAAAAGATTATTTACATGAAAATTCAAAATTGTGTCTTCTTTGTTCAAAGCAAAAAAAAAGGTTTTCAAAAAGAATATACTTTCAAATTCATTCAATATTCATGATCACAAAGATGGCCAAAAACCAAAAACAAAAACATATATCTTTTTCCTTTTCTTGTTAGAAAAATATTTTCCCGAAATCCGCGCGTGCTCCATATCCCTCTTGACTAACTACAACAACTTTTATTGAACTAATTGACTACACAACTGAACTCATTAATCACTTAGTTACTTACTTATCGCTTCTACTAAACCTTATACAACTGTAAATTATCTTTTTTAAACTGACTGCACCTTACAAAATACGCGCTTTTATACGTAACGAGCCAAAGTCGCTTATTAAATGCAAATGCATACAATAGGAACAAATCCTCACTATTGCACCGGTCATACAACAGTGGCGACTTTTACGCACAATGTGACGACGTGGGGGCCACATTAATTCTTCTGATAAGTCTTCAACTTGTCTGATGTTCACCTCTTTCGCGTCTATACATACAGCCTCTCAGATCCATATTCATCCTATCTGTCATTCTCCATCGCCCTCATAATCTCTAGGTCTGCGTTATTCGTCATACTCACAAGGATGTGTTCTGGGATGAATTTCTGTCTATCTAGGTTTACGTTTGAGGACTGCTAGGTTCTTCTTCCCATGGACTAATGTCACGTGAACTAGGAAAATAGCTATTGCTTGTTGACTGCCATGCTGGCAAGAACTTTTTCAGGCTGAACATTTCTGAGGCAGTTCTTGCCTTAAGCCGGACGCCTGAATAAGGTGTCAGCGCTCTTATGCAGTTCATCAGTACGATATTTGATTTGGAAATAGAACTGTTGCAGCTTCTTTATCGAAAGCACAGAGTCATCAGAAGGAGAGCGAGATCTCAGCCGTGATATGCATTCAGGGTTGAAAAGACCTCGTTTTCCGCAGCGGTTGGGATATTTCCTGATCTCAAGTCACATTCCAACTTTTAAATTTTTTTCTGAACGCTAAAAAATTTCCTAACGAACACTCTCCAGCTTCTTCTCGTTCTTCTCGCCGTACTTCTTCCATTGCATGCTTGATTTTATTATCTTTTCCTCTCAAGATTTCCTCGAGTCTGGTTTATTCATCAGACATTACGGTTCGAATTTATCCTCGCTGGAAATTAAAATATTCCTGAAGCCGGTTTCTCCCTCTGCCGACTTCCTCTTCTGCTTGTCTTTCTGTCTTCAGTCTTTCTGTTTCTCTTTTAAACCTCGATCTTCTTGTTGTTTTGAAAGTTTTGCCAGTCGAGTTGGTTGTTCTCCTTTTTCTTTCTACCTTCGAGTATCTTAACTCTTCTTTCTGCCTTCGGCCACCTTCTTCTTGTCTTTCTATCCGTATTCGAGTTTCCTCTTCGTGCATTGTTGCTGATAAAATAGACTATAGAAGGGGAAAAACACGTAGAAATAGGAGCGGTAATGAAACACTATAGGCGATTTCGCCCCAGATTTTCATCTGCAGTTTGGTAGGCGAATCGTTAACCAATTTGTACGTATGAGTGACGTAGCTCAACAATGTCAACAATCTGATCCGAATTTAGTGGGTAGGGTGTTTGGTACATTTTGACTTTGACATGTTTATTTAGACATGGGACAGAAAAAGACGGAAAGTTACCAAACCTCCCCAACCCAGTTACAAACCGCAGTCAACCGCGGTATAGCATTTGACAGGCCAAAACGCCTACCAAAGTTGTTGTGACGGCATCATTCTCCCATCTGAAATTGATTGGTACCTGTTTGACAGACCAAACTGGGGTACCAAACTGAGGCGAAATCACCTTATGTGACTTCGTTCACTTCAATAATGACAATAATTTTATTTACTAGGGTTGCCTAGTCAACAACAATAGAAAACTGATAGGTAAAGGTAAAACTAGATGGAGTAGCAATACGATATTTTGAACTTATTTCAATACACCCACTAGTTTAAAATAATCAATTATAAAAATACAATAATTATTTATAAGTGATTCCTAACATTTCAACAAATGTATAATGCTTTGTACCACCCAAGGATTTTGTGAATACATCAGCTGGCAATAAATCAGTTTTTAAATACTCTAAGCAATTTGATTATTCGCAACAATATCTTTAATAAAATAATAGAGAGATATTATAAATCAGCGTTAATAAGGCTAAAACCTTATTTAGACGCGATAGGTCATTTCCTTACTTTGAATGACAAGTTTAGATATTGCAAATTTCCAGAAACGACTAGGAGTTGATGCCTTATTTCTAACCTGAAAATCTTCAATTTTTGTTAATGTTTATTTTTTAAGTTTTGAACTTGAAGTGTTTTCTTTCTGATGTGGAATATATGCTTAGATATTTCGAAAATAAAAAATTATTTGTTCAAAATATTTATATAGGTAGTACATGTAAAATCGTAGAACAGTGGCAGGAAAATCACACAAATTTTCTAAAGCCAAATCAGTTCATAGTTATACGTAAACCTTGAGGTTGTTTGTCTGTGTTGTTCGGGGCAGCACCTCCTGCTTTGGGGCGTTCGTTTGTGAGCATTTTATAGGGTTTATCTGCCATAATCTGAGATATTACAGCTTAGTTCAAGTTAGTGCGACATAAATAAACAAACCTTTAGTCTGCCTCTTTTCTGTGCCTCGATGCTGTTTTGATTTCGTCTCATTTCTCAAAGTTTGGAAAAAAAAATTCAAGAAAAGTCAAAACTCGAGTCAAAATTTGTTGTCATGAATCTGAAATCTATGGTTATAAACATAAAACATAACAAAATTCAGTTCGCGATTCCTACCGATCGTCGCCGATCGACTAAGAACTTTTAAATAAGGCAAAATAAGGCAGGTCTTATTTTCTCCTAAATAAGGCAGATCCTTATCCTTAATAAGACTGTCCTTATTCCAAACGGAAACTGCGCCTGCGCAGCTGTCGAAATAAGGCTTGCCTTAATAGGACAAGCACTTGCAATATCTCTCTAATATCGCACATCAATGTGCTTTAAGCGTTTGCGATAAAGTCGATTCTACTATCAAATTCCTTAGATAGATAGCTTCTTTGAATGCAGTGGCGTAGCCAAACCAAATGGCGACATCCAAATTGCGAGGCCTTTTTTATATAGGGTGGCTAGGGTAGCCATATTTCTTGTGACAAAAAGCTGGATATAAGGACAGGGACGGGTAGCCGCCGGTAAGCCCCCGGAAGGATAACCGCCGAAGGCGAGAATTATTTTCGTGACACGCCCCATTTTCAGGCATATCACCGATATTCGATACAATATCAAGTCAAAAATATTAATAGTACATCGACCCGATTCATCATTCATTGCATTCATTATTGCATTTATTCAGTGTCGAAGCAGTCAAAAAGTGTAGAAGTGTTCAAATAGTGAGAAGCCAATCCGTCCAGAAGATATTTCCATCAGCATGTAAGAGCCTAAGGAGCTTTTAAAGAATTCGATCCATAGTTAGACTCCGAAAAGCAAAGAAGCCAAATCCAGTCAAGCTGAATCCCAGAAGTCGGGAATTAGAAGCCCAAGCAAAGAGCAGACAAAGTGCAAGAAAAAAAAAACACCAGCTACCACGCTTCCTTCGACGTGTTACATTAATGATTCCAGTAAAAAGTGCAGTAAAAAGTTCAGTAACATAAAAAATGATCGATTGGCATAAAAACTACACGTACATGTATCAACTTCCTCAGGGACGCCACAGCAACATGTTGGGGGCGTCGGACCTTCCCCAAAGCCACATGGCGCGGATATGTCCCATCGCCCAGGGTGGAGATATGAAAAATCTTGTCCGACTTGGTGTTATGAAGCCGCTCCGTTTGGCCTGTACATGAGTTACAAAATTTAAAGGTCGATGTACATTGGTAGTTTTCAGTGAATTCTTTGATATTTAGAAGTTTCGTATAGGATTAAGTTTATTTGTCCTCTACGTTTTATTTTTGAAAATCGAAAAGTGCAAATTTTTTAGGTTTGGTAACCTATTTTTTGCGAGGCGGCCCCTTAAGGCGCGAGGCCGTCGGCAGTCGCCGACGCCTAGCTACGTTACTGTTTGAATGTTTCAGTGAAGGCCATGTATTCGGCCTCGGTACTAGATAATACCACAGTATCCTGTTAACAGCTTTTCCATGAAATAACTGATAAAGTTTGTGAGGCTTTCGCGGCCCAGCTTTAATAATAAGGGGTTTTCATTCGGGATTAATGGCCGTCGTAAGTTGGAATTTCTTCCTGACGTTTCGCTAGCACGCGTGGCTAGCATCTTCAGAGGTGCTTCCATGTCCGATTCTGGTAGCAGACTGACGCATTCCCGACCGTAAGTTGTATTGATGTGTGAGTGGCTGTGGTGGGGGGTGGGCGGGGCTTCGCGGCACGTGGTTGATCTCAACTCTCTCTGTACTCAATGGGATCTTTCTTGCGTTTTTAAGGTTCGGATTCCAGATTTGGTTAAGTTTTAGTGTTTCTTCTTTCCTGTTGAAATTCTCCGTATGTTTGTGGATTTCTATAGCTTCACGTACAAGACGATTGTGGTATCCGGAAGTCGGTGCAAGAAGATTGACCTCACCAAAGAGTATTTCATGATTTCCTACACTAAGCGCATGTTCCGCAACTGCTGATTTTTCCGATTGTCCTAGTCTGCAGTTTCTTTTGTGCTCGTTCATCCTGGTTCCCATGGATCTTTTTGTCGTTCCTATGTATACCTTACCACATGTGCATTGTATACGATAGACTCCAGCGCTTGACAGTGGGTTTCTCTTATCCTTGGCTGATTTGATTGATTGCTGTATTTTCCTTGTTGGCTTGAAGATTGTTTTTATGTTTTGTTTCTTCAAGACTTTCCCTATCCTGTCTGTCACCCGAGAAATGAAAGGCAGATATGCA